GACCTCGGGCAAAAGCGACCTTACAAAGATGGCGGCCGCCCCACAGCGCAACCCCTCACAAAGATGGCGGCGGCGGCGCGGACGTGGCCACGCTGGGACGGGGGAGCGTGGCGGCAGCTCTGCGCATGCGCTGATGTAGTCGGGCTGGGGACCATGGGCCGGAGGCGAGAGGGGCTGAGCGTGGCCCGGGAGGTGAGGGCGGGCGGTGCTGTGGGCACGGCCGGGCTGGGGCGAGGCGGCTGTTGTTGCCGGAGTGCTTCACAAGAGAGCAGTGGGTGCTGGGGAGGGCCGGGGTAGTGGGGGCTCAGGAGCCCTACCCTGACCAGGCTGTGCTGCAGTGGTGCCAGGCCCGGCTGCCACTTAATGTGCGAGGGTGGTGGCCGAGACTGAGGTGGCATCGGCCTGCACCGGGTCCTCCACGATGATCCGTCCTTCATCCCGTGCTTTCGACTGTGCGATGGCGTTTGTTTCCCTTCCTGCTGCTGAGCCCTTGAGCCTGTACAGGAAGAGGTGGTAGACGTGTGCACCCATGAAGGGGGCTTGCCCCTGACTAGCAAATCTGTGCCCAGCTTGGCCTGCGTGTGTGGTGGTGAAAGTCAGCAGTAGGCAGGGCCTGGGCTGTTGCTTTTGAGGAACCCAGTGATAAATCAGCACATGAGGTACCTGTGAATCACAGCAAGGAGAAGGGGAATAGACAGGTTTTCAAGAGTATGCCTTCTAAAGCTGCCTTTTTATTGTTGCGCTTGGGTGTTTCGTAATTTCCTGAATGGCAGGAGGGTTACTGGTAAGCTTTGTTTAAGCTTTATATCTATATTAATAAACAAGCATGTTAGTTAAGGTTTCTCTGAAGCGTAGTTCATTCTGGCTGCTGCATTGAACAGTGGTATCTGGACTGACTTGGAGGAGGCAGTGGTGAACCCATAGTTCAAGTCTGTGGGTCGTGGATACTTTGGGGACAGTAAAAGCCTGGATCTTCCTGACAAATGACTGAAGTGGGGTGGAGTTGATCTAGTGAATCTCGCTGGTCACCTCCCTGTCCTGAAGTCTTTCAGGTGAGCATAGGCACAACAGGCCAAGATAGCCTGGGTAGAAAGGCCATGGAAAGGACTTGGGGCTTGTCATATATGCTTCATCACCCAGTACTGTAAAGGTGACTGTCCTACTGTGTCCTTTGAATGGGAGATCAGTCTATAAAAGTTTTCTGGTCTATTTCATCTAGTTTGGCTTTCAGTAGAGAAACAGACATTTCTGGGCACTCTAACCCAAATACTGCCACCAAAGGGCGTTCAGAGGGAAGTGTGCTGTTTGTCCAGCTTCTCTTCAGTGACCCTGGCAGGGAAAGTTGAAATAATGAAATTCTGGTTGTTTGAGATGTGGCAGACAAGGAGAGTTGAGATGGTAGAGTCTACCTTATAAAAAGAGAGGTGGTAAAAAAGGTGAGCCTGTCAGGGACCTGCTGGTCACAGAATGGAAAAGGACTGATATTAGCTGCCACAGCAAATTCTTGAAAAGTGTTTGGAGATTTGTGGTATCTTTAGATTTTACTTTTTTTTTACAAGTTGTCATGATAGAACACACTGTTTTTGTAAGGACTGTAGAACTACTCTTCTTCGGTGTGCTATAGATGAAAACCTCTCACTGCAAAGGTACTACTAAAGGATAAAATCCTTCCTTCTTGCAATGATGAGAAAGGTACTGAATAGATGTTAGGGAGGAAGAAAACAAAATCCCTTTAAGCTAGAGGAAGAGAGGGCTGTGTTTCAGGTGTCAGAAATACCAAGATATTGATTTTGTAATTGAAACTTTCATTCCATTCAGTATTACCTTCTGAGCTGTTATGATTGTAAAGAAAACTTTCGAAATGAGTCTTAATATGACATGATGCATGGCTAGCTTTGAAAGGCCTAATCTAGGCAGAGTCATGCTTGTTTAACTGAAGTCATGATGCTAAATGAATGCAATTTTCTATATGGACAGTTATCAGATTAGCTTGCACTTACAAATTGCAGGTGTAATTGATATGAGCTGGTTTAAACTGATATAAATGTGTCTCCATAATGTGGTGATGGTTTAAACTCGTGCCACTTGTCCTTTCATGTAGCTCTGTAGTCTTTCAACAGGCAGCCTCACTGGCAGTGATGAGCTGCACAGAAATTTCTTGATGAAACTCTTCAGGAAAATGGCACTGGGAAGACTGGTCCATGGTGTAGCGACACAGTGAAAATGGAGTGAGCTTAAGAGAGTGACAAGGATGATCAAAGGTGTGAAAAACTTCTGTGCAAGAAACAATTAAGCATACCAGGTCCCTTTAAGCTTGAAAACATGACTACAGGGGGACCCGATATGGGTCTATATCCTCTGTATGCTATTGGCAATTTTAAACAAAGAATGAACATTCAATGTCCATACAAAAGTAGGGCTATTGAGTCAAACCAGCAGCTGACAAGCTCAGAACAAACAGGAGGGGTTGGTTCTCCCCACAATCCATGGCCGAGCTGTGAAACTCCTTGCCACAGGATGTCGTAGCCCTTAAAAATAAAATTGTGGCCCAGGCAACAACAGAAAAAAAAAATCATGGAAGCGAAAGAGTGGGGCTCTTAAATGCAAAGAGAACACCACCCTGTGCTCAGGCAGTGCCTGAGCTGCACAATGTCAGCTGTGTGTTTGGAGAAAGTATTGTACTGTGTATGGCTGCTTCTGACAAGGCAATGGCTGATCAGTGTCCATGCAAGAGCACAAAGAATGGGGAAAAGGCCAGCGCAGGCTTTACTCAGTAAAGCTGCTCCTACAGGATTTTTGAGAAAGCTGTGGGTGGTGGGGGCGGTGTGGCCAGGTCTGCGTGCTGTCCTGCAAAGCCACTGGTCCGAGCTGAGGCAGGGTGGGAGGACTCACTGGGTGGTCCCTGCAGGGCTGAGGGAGGAGATGCAGGTAGGATCCAGCCCTTTCTCCTTTGCCAATGCAAGGGGCTGATCTGCAGGGTTTATCTTAGACTTTGCTGGTGGATCATCCTCTGTTGTGTAGTAGCTTGCCTGGTAAATATTTCCAAGCACTCTGTGGGCACAGCATTTGTGAAATGATTTGCTAGCGTGCAGAGTGATTGCAGGAGCGTGGTGAAAATGGAAGTGTGTCCATGAGCTGCAAGTTAGCATTTGAATTTAAACAAAACTCATCTCTGCTGGTCTGATTTTAATAATCCAGCCAAATTTGTGGATGCAGGAACCACTAATTCTTCTGTGAAAAGAACTGCTCAAGTGTACTGGCAGTTGACAAGGCACAAGAAGACTGCTTGGGGATGAGTTTTTTTCTTTGCCCTCACATCTTCAGTTGGCTTTGATCTGTTATATGAGGGTCAGAAGACGAAAACCTCATTACCTAACGCTGCTGGATGTCGACGCATGTGTGATTTGGCTCTTTGCCAGTGTCTTAATTAGGGAATTCATAAAAGCAGAGGGTGGATGACAGTTCTTGAAAAGCGCTTTTAGCCTTTCTGCTGGAAAGAAAGCTTTTATTAATTCATTACAAAATGCATTAAAAGAGATCCAGCTTAACTCTGTAAGCAAAGCCGCTTCCTTCTCCCTTCTCTCTTTGTCTCTGCCTTTATGTGAGCCATTTCGGGCTCCCTGCCCAAGATGGTCCCAACAAATGAGATTTGTAATAAGCATGTAAGTCAGTTTGGATTGAAATCTACTCCAGGTCTCTGTGGTTTAGGTCTCCAGATTGCGAGCGAGTGTTGCCAGAATTCAATGAAAATGGCTCAGTGCCTTGTCATACCTTGTGGAGCAAGGGAGGCATCTGGTCTTCAATCCCTGTGTGCATCCAAAGCTGCTGGGACTTTGCTTTCCAGAGTGACTCTTGGGGAGCAGAAGGGCAGATCTGTGTACTCCGAGCTGCTGCCTGGATGTGAAGCACCTGTTTCACTCTCCTCTTTTAAGTGGCACTACTTCAAGATGTTGCTGCAAGTCAAGTCCTGTGTCCCTGCTATAGCCCATGTGAACCTGAGGAGCTGTCATGTGAGCTCTCTGTGTGCTGCACTTCAGCTCTGTCCCAGAGGATCCTCTTCATGGGATGGAGAGCCAGAAGGAGCAAGGGTTCATCTTTGCACCTTAAAGCCACTGTGCTGAGATTGCCACTAAAAAGATAAGCCAGTGTGAAGTGCAGAGAGGGCTCAGCCAAGTGAGCTTGGCTCTTCATTCTCCTGCAGGCTTCCAGTAGTCCTAGGTACCTACCCCAACTGACCTTCTCATGTATTAGTAGGAGGGAAAGCCTTCCATCCACAGCAAGCTCAGGTGTGCATCTGCCTCTAGGATTGCTTTGCTGGAGAGCTGCTGCAGGGAGTTATGCCAAAGCCCTGCAAGTTCTCTTATGCTACAGCTTTACAGGCTATGCCCCCTGTGGGAGTTTTGGCAGCCTAGAGAGTAATCAGTACTTCCCAGGCATTCCTCTGTTTCTCCCTGTGCTTGTTTTCTGTTTCTGTCTTTCTATTGTCCTGTAGTGAAGAGTTACTTGGATGGCTGAGCTGCCAAGAGACTCCTGGCTTGGAGGAACAGATCCCAAATCCAGAGTGAGGCAATGGCACTGACATATCCAGATGTTTTGCCCATAGTCTGGGTCGGTGTCTGAGGCTCCTAGTGTAAATGAGCCACCTCCAGGAGGCAGATAGTATTGTCCTAATTTACAAGGAGGGAAACTAAGGCACAGTAAATGGATAACATCTGGGAATCCTCACTCTCGTCCTTACTTACAACCCCTAATGCCCCAGACTGGCCTGAAGAAAAGAAATAGTGGGATTCTGGATGGAAGATATTTTGTTCATTCAGCAATCTGTTCCTCCTTCCTTGTTGTTTTTTTTTTAATTATTATTTTCTGTCCCTTGTGCCCTCAGCACAGCAAAGCTGATGGTGTTGTTCTAGGGCATGTGGTTTATTAGCAAATTATTGCTCTTCAGCAGGGGACCCAAACTTTGGTTTTGATTTAAGAGCAGTAAAACCAGTTGAAACTTTTTAAGTATTCTATGGAATCTGGAGATTTTTAGTCAGCAGAAAGCAAAGGCATTGGCAGAGTTGGGCCTCTTGTTATGTTTCATGAAATGACACAAGTATGGGCAGAGAATGGACTGGTGAGCACAACTGCAAACTGAGCAGAAGGAGCAGTTTTGGAGGAGAGGAGAGGAAGTGCAGTGACATGGATAATTTAGTGGTCAGGTTGGCAGCTGACTAACCAAAGCTCTCATTAAATTATATTACTTAACATGATTTCTAAACGTGTTTCCAGAGAAGGTGTGGTGCATTGTTACACGTTTACTGGCTGAGGAGAAGCCAGGTAATGCATGCTGAAGTACCTCTTGCTGTGTGTGTATGTGAGGGTTTCCAACAGATTAAGGAGCAGAGACAGAGTCATTTGCAAATGGTAGGAACTGGCAAGGGATGTGGTTGTTCTTAAATTGGGCTGGGTGGACATGGCACCTCCACTCTGCCATTGAATTAACTTCCTGATAAGTGTGGTCAGTGCTGAATTGGGTGAAGCCCTTGCTTGGCCCTGAAGCAGACTGGGGTAACACATCCCGCTGACTGAGCTGTAGTGGATGACAGATAGTGATGAGTGGCTGGAGTTAACATTCTTAACTGGCACAGCTGGATGTGGAGGAGAACAGTAGTCTGTGCCCTGACTGAATGCATTTTCAGCTAATGTGCTCCAGAAATATCCATGTCCTCATCCAGGCAAACCCAAGCATTGCCAGACCCAGAAGTGCCATTCCTTGTGCTCTGGGATCAGGTGATGTGCCTCCATGCTCCCCTGGGGCTCAGAGGAAGCTGTGTGGGTTCCTCTGGAGAGGGCATCCCATCATCAGCCCTGGCAGAGGTGCCTAATAACAAGGGACTTTGAAGTTGCTCTCTGGTAAATGCAAAGATTTATTTGAGCCTTGTTATATGTGGCCCCCTCCCCAGCTCTGCTGTGCTCCTTGCAGGGAGACCATTGAGGTGACATCACGGCTAAACTCCCTTTTGCAGTCTGCTTTGTTCTCCCCTTTACATAAAGCCTCTTCTCCCTTCCTGCTTATTTATAATGCTTGCCTGCCTCTTCTGAGCAGGAGGTGTGAGATTGCTAATGAGCTCAGGACAGAGCTGATTCCCATGCAGCAATAATTAGGGATCACTGCCTTTGATTTTGTTTCTTATATCACTGTTTATGGGAGCATTTGTGCTCTAGGCCACCGCTGAGGCTTATGTCCAGGTGTCTCATTCCACCTCACTACTTTACCCAGGACTGTGCTGCCTCTTCGTTTCTGGTTTGTGAAGGCTGCCACCGCAAGAGAGGCCGTGCTGCCAGCCATCTAGCTGGGCTTGGCCTTGCTTGGAGAACCAGACACAGCAGGACCGTTGCACTAAGTAGGAGCCATCTCATTGCCACCCCAGGGCACCAAGGCCATTTTCTTTCAGGCTAGGGTGTTGTGTTCATATTACCTGGTTAGTCTCGCTCTTTCAGCCTGAAAGAGTTTTCATGAAGATGTCTACTCTGGTTGCCAGGCAGAAAAGAGGAACGATTCCCAGGAGAAGTGTTGTCCATGGTAGGATTCCTTCGTGGGCAATCCATTTGCACACAAGTAGATCAACCCTCATGTACTTATCCACAGTTACTCTCTGCCGCATTGTATTACAACGTCACAGTTGCCTGGGGTGTAACACAGGCTGACCTAAGAGATGGTGGGCTCTTGATCCTTAATTTGAGGAGGAAGGAGGTAGAGTGGCTGAGCTGCCACCCTTCCCATCTGAGTGGGGATGGATCCACGTTAGCTGCGAGAGGAAATGACGGTGACTGGTGTGGTGTTTTTCAGATTGATGGACTGGAGGAGAAGCTGGCACGCTGCAGACAGAGCATGGAAGAGGTGGATCTCAAACTGCGCAGGGAGAAGCTCAGCCCTGAAGGAAGGTATTGATAACCACCTTTCACACCTGTGGCTGTGCACTTCAGCCTGCTGTCATTCTGCTGTAGTACTGACCAAGGGCTCTTGAAGGGATGGGAGTATGGTTTCCCATGACAAGACTGTTCCCCCAGCTTGGAGCTTACTTGAGGAACTTGCCAGGGTGAGAAGTTCAGTGATACATGGAGAGAGCTTTATCTTATCAACAGTCTTGCTCCCCAACCTGCACTACAACCAGCCAAGCAGTGCCTGTAATTTGCCAGTTCATTTGTAGGGCTAGCTCCTGCCCTGCTAGGAAACAGCTCTGTGAGTCTGGCAAAGGTTCATCACATGCTGCTACTCAAGCCTTGCTGAAGCTGCCTGAGTTCAATCAAAGGAGATGTGCAGCAGCCATCTGTCTGAAGGCCAAACCAGGCTGGGACACAACTGGGAAATGGCTCTTTCTGTGCTGCAGATGTGTCTGGATGTAGGGATGCAGTGACACCCTGGCTTTCCTTAGAAAAGGGAAGAGGGACAATTCCCCTGAAAGCTGTCACTGACACAGGAGAGGCAACTGTGGGCTTCTAGACCAGGAATTTGACCTGGATTTCATAGCAGACACAGGCAGAACCTGCTGTTTCTCTAGAGTGTGGAGCAAGAGATCCTACATCTCCCAGTTGATTCTCAAAACTGTCTGCTTGGGGACATTCTTCCAGGCACCAGCTTCTTATTGCTCTGCTCCTAGCAAAAAGGCTGGGAAGTTCAATTGTAGGCCCAGGGAGTGGTCCTGTTGGCTGCTCTACAGTACTGTCCTACATCCTCACATCCTGATATTTAACAGCCTCAGGTTATCTTCTTTGTTCCTCCTTTCCACTCTGTTACTTTGCTCTGTCTGCCATTCCTTGAGCCAGCCTCTCTCTCTTCTCTCCACTTTTACTGGGGTTTTATATCCCCATCTGTATTTGGACAGGATCCTGTCTCCTCCTGTTCCTCATCTGTAGTTTCTCAACTCACTTGTCCCTCATCTAGGCCTAAATTCGTCTTGTGTTTTCTGTCTGTATTCTTTATCTGCTACTGAGCTCGCCAACAACCAAACCTACAGTTGTGGTAACTTGATAGAATGGGATATGTCTGTCTGATTTCTCTCTGAAATATAGGGCCTCAAGCAAAGAATTAGGATTAGAGATTCCTGGAACCTTTTCTTAATTTTACAACTTATGTGGAGATGGAAATAGAAATTCTGTTGCCCTAATTCAGACCATTCAAAAAACCCTGGAGGAAGATACTATGATTATTGATTCAGTGAGTATTACACAAACGAGAGAGCTCTGCTTTCCCATTTTGAAGTTCAGTTGTTAGGGATTCTTCATGTCTTATTCTCAAAGCCTCTTCCTTTGACTCTTCACAAGGCAAGTTGCTAAGTACCGGCTCAGTCACATTGGTAAAGCTGTCTTCTTGCTTCCTTCTGGCTGCACTCAGTGTTGCCTTTCCCCAGTTGCCTTTTAGAGCCCTTTCCTCTCCTGCTGCTCTGATGTAGCTTGCTTTCTGCCATCCCTTACTTAACTAGCTGTACACAGAGATTTGGATCTCTTTCTTCCTACAGGTTCTTGCTCTGCCCCAAGGGGAACAACAAACTTACACTCAGTGACTCAGTGTCTTCTCTGTCTGCTCTGAACCATGAGATAATTCGTTAGTGCATATTTATTTATATGCACACAGTCTGAAAGGAGTGACCGCGTCCTCACTTGCCATAATGGAAACACTGCTGCTTTCAGGCAATTTGTTTTGCTTTTATATTTTAAACTGTGTATTAATTAATCATCTTGTGCAGCTTAAAACAAGGGTTGGGTTGGCCTGACTTGCTCTTCATTGTCATTATCCTGAGTCTTCAGTCTAATAACAGGTTGTTTAACTGGTTGTTACTGGGCTTGGATTCAGGTTGGTTCCTTGAGTTGACCAATTTCTGTAAATTGGATACCTCTGACAAAGGCATCCCAGCTCCAATCAGTGGTAAGAATTGGTGTTCCAGCCCTAAGCCAGATGTGGTGGAGGGGCAGGATCCTGCAGAGAGCATGTAGAGACCCTGTCCCATCCTTAGCTGTGGCAGAACTTCCTACCCCACCTGGGGGAACAGAGTAGGGGGCTCTCTGACACACAGACCCCTCTCTAGCCGGCTTGTGTAAACTGATGCTGTCCTGCAAGAATTGATACAAAGCAGTTTGGGGTAAGGAAAAAGTAATTTAAAACTGCTGCATCTCTTCTCCGGCACAGCTGGAGGTTTCTAAACTGTCACCTCTCCACAGTGAAGGGTGAGGGGCTCGTTCTGTGAGCAGATATCCCCAGCAGTGGGACAGTCTCTCTTCCATCATATAAGCAAAGAAATAGGCTGTGTTGTGCCTCACAGGTAATGAACTCCTCTTCTCATTACAGAAAGTCACTGGAGAGAGAGAGAAACTTGCTAATGACCAAAGCTGACAACTATGGTAAGAGCTTCATTAAAAATGGTCCCTCTGGGCTGGATGGGATCAGTGCTGCAGCTTAGCTTCGCCTTCAAGCTCCTGCCACCTCTGACTTCTGCCTTTGAATTTAGCCTCAACCAAAAGGAGCTAGACAGAGGGAAATCTGGTCACCATATTATAATAGGAGTCTAAATCCTCCCACGTGAGCTGTGTTATCAGAGGGGAAAAAATAAGCATCAGCTAATGATGGCGAGGGGGGAAGATGTCCCTTTCACATACCCTAAATTACCAGTCTTTAGATAATCTTAGGCAACAGATTGACTTGAATGGCTTTTAACATGCTCCGTTCCTATTTTTTTTCTTTTTTAATAGAGGCTTAATAAGCAAGCTTGCAAGTGCTACCTGGAGCGTGGCAAAGTATACTTTCCTTGGGGAAGGTTCCCACTGTACCCACTTCTGGGGCCATTCAGCACACAAGCATAGGCATTTACACTGATGTGCTGCCTGCAGTTCCAGAGAGCCAGGGTCTTTCCTTGCTGCAAGTGCTGCTGTAGATGGCTAAAATAAGAGTCCCTCTGAGCTACCACACATTTGACAGCACTTCCATTCCACTGGGGATGCTGCTTTGCATGTTTTTAGGCTCTTGGTGTTGAGCAGCGTGTTAACTGCTTCACAGCACTCGCAGCAGTGCGAGCACCAGAGCTCACACAAAGGAAAGTAGCACAAATGTTCTTTTAGGCCTAGAGAGTTGAAAGCTGGGGTATTGCCAGCAAATTTATAATTTTAACTCATGTTAAAGGACTGTTTCCAGAAGACTTAACAGTTATTTTAAACAGATTCAGAGCTGCTCCCTAAGGGGCCGCTGCTAGAGACGGCAGAAGACTCTGCACATCGCTCATACCCTTTTCCCAGCAGTCAGCCATCACTGCAAGCATCAACAGAGCAGTCTGAGAGGCTGTTCAGACAGCAGCAACAGCCTCACCTAATGGCTGCTTCTCCTGCGACAGAACAGAGTGCACACAGCCTTTTTAGATCACTGCTGTGGCCTCTGGTTAAATCTCTGCTCATGCCAGCTGACACACTTGAGGCCATGAACTGCAGTTGCCGATGATGGCATCGCTCCATCAGTTTAAGCTGGCACTGCTGTCCTTGGGGTTATGTGACCTCCTGCCCAGACCACCTCCTCTGTAGCCGTGCAGATTCAAGCAGTTTGCTCTGTGGTTGCATGAGAATGCTTGTGCCACATAATGAATGGCTAAAATAATTATTGCAACTTGGTCAGTGAGGCTGTAGGCCTCATTTCTTGCCTGTACCATCCAGCAAAGTCTTGTGGAACAGAACTAGCAAGAATGGGGTTCTCATCTTTGGTAAAAGGAGAAAACAGAAATGGAGAGCAGTAGGACTCCATACTTTTGGTACCCACATTCTTCTTTTCTCTGCATTTCTTCTTTTGTAAAGCAGGGCCAGGGAAAGTGACCTATATCTAAAAAGCTGCAGACCCCAGCAGAATGGGTATCCAGGCTCAGACCTCTTCCACACTCATCCTTCTAGGGCACAAGGAAACCCGGATTGTGCAACATTCAAAGGTGGCCACAGTTGTGTTTAAGTGAATTTAAGCACTAGCAAAAGTTATCATGTTGTTACATCTAGAAGACAGTAAAAATAGCACTCTACCCTCTGTCTTCATTCTCTTAGGGAACAAGCCATTACTTTAATGACCCATTCTGTCCTTAGTAGTGTGCTAGAACAAGGTCGTGCAAACCAAACTGATCTGGCACTGAAGTATTCTCAAGCACAGCTCCTGAGATTGACAGGATTAGAGTTAGCACATGAAAAGGTTGCTGCTTGTTTACTTCCTGTTCAGCATATCCCATCATTAGCAGCTTTGCATACTGATCCCAAAAGAGTTGACTGTGGCCAAGGTAGCATTGTCCTTTTAATGCAGTTTTTGAAAGGAGATGAAGCTGCAACATGAGGAACAGTCACAGGTAAAGTTTTTGTTTGTTTCCCAGAGAAAGAACTCAGTGTGCTTCGCAAGGAAAATCGCAAGAACGCTGCCCTTGCTGTGGCCATGGGGTTGCTGATTGCTCTTATTTATGCCTGCTGGACAATGTGATTGCATTCAAGAATTCTCCCTGCTGACCAAATGACTCTCCTTCAAGGAGCTCTCCCTCTCACCACTGTGCCTCCCTCAAGGGTGAGGATCAGCATTTCAAAATGCTGTTCTTGTTTATCCTCTTCAAGCATCATTGTAGGGAAGCTTTTTCTCTTGAGAATTGAGGGGGACAGGAGACAAGCCAGAAATCATTTACGATTGCAAATAGGGTCAAACAGAGCTCAAGGTGCTGTCTTACCCAATATGCCGCCAAGACCATCCAGCCTGATGTGGGAAGGTAACACATTCCCTTTCGAAGAGGACCTCTGTGGCTGCAGACAAGTTCTCTCTGCTCAGCCCAGCCAGAATCCATGCCATCTTCTTGGTTTCTGTGACTTGGCCATGAGCTGAAGGGACACCATGTTCTTTGAAGCAAAGGTCAGCTTGGGTATTGTGACCTAAAGACTTCACATGTCCCCAGAACTGAGCTAAACAAGGATATTTCCTCCTCCACACTGACTTACAGGACCAAAGGAATCCTACCTCCACAAGTCCAGACAGGAGGGAGATATCTCTTTCTGCAAGCAGGTAGCATCCAACATGACATCTGGGTGCTTGGACTTGGTAAGATCTACCTACCTCTCCAGTGCATTAGAGCTCGGTCGCCACTTTGTGCTTCTGAGGATCAACATTTGCAGAAGAGAGTTTACTATCAACTCCCAGGGATGGAAGTGCCTCTGCAGGCCTTTTAATAAAATAATTTGACCTTGTAACTTCCTGGTTTTCTTTTTTTTTTCCTGTTTTGTAACATGCCTCTCAGCCACTGTTTTATTCTTATCCTGCCATCTCCCTGCTGGTACACATTACACCGCAGTAAACCTAGACAGGGTTAGGCACTTAACATCCTTGGTCAGCAAGGTCTCCACAGTGGGTAATTGATCTCTTGTGGCCTGGAATCTACTTGAGCATTTGGTTTGAGTGGAAAGCAGCCTAGCATGCTGCAGAGGCGTGCTGAGGACCAACCTCTGTGGTCTGCTCTCATTCTGATCCAGTGACATGCACCAGGTAGCCCTGAGTATGATCTAACCTGACAGGAAAGCCTTTAAAAGGGGACTGCCTTGAAAATTTAACTGTACAGGGCATTTCTCTGTCTCCACACAAACACACATTGCTGGCCAGAATTTTGTGGGAAGCAAAGTAAATGAGAACTTTCGTGAACTAAAGGGGCTGTATTTGTAACAGAGACAATGAAAGCAGAGAAGTCAACACAAAATGATACACAGCCTAATAATACATTATGCAATTAATGTACATAAACATTCCCTTCAGCAAGACCTTCCTCACCCCCCTTCCCAACATTATCCCTCCACATTCACCCTGCAGTAGGGAAGTAGCATGGTGGCTCATGCTTGCCTTCTTGAAGGAGGATTCAGAATCAGGGTTCAGTGCATGAAAAATAAAATTAAAAATAAAAGCAAATTAAAATCAGGAGGAGCTGGAGGCAACTGGGTAAACAGAAAGTATCTGTTCACAAGAGCTAGCCTGCAGGCTAACCAGGGTTTTTTGCACCCTCAGAGGCGTACCCTCACCCTAGTGTATTTCCTAGTCACCCTTCTGTCTGCTAGCCCGCAGGAGACCAAAGCCCTGCGTGGAAGACACAACACTCCAAAGGAGCCTGGCAAAGGGAGCAGCATGCTTTGCTGGCATTGGAACAGCCTCAAGGCAGTCTGAATAGCGCCAGAAGTCAAATTACTGGTTGGTTTATAAAGCCAACTGCACACAGGCCAGGAAACCACACAGTTGGTTGTTTATTGCCCACTGGGAAAGATTCCTCATAATCCCTCATGGAAGTGCCTTTCCCAAACCAAAACTACCAGTGACAGGCTTATTGTTCTTTGGGGGAGAAGGGCCACCCTTTCTTTCATACATGTTTTACCAATGCTTGAGAGCAGAGGGCTCACAAGTCAGCAAGAGGATGTAATAACAGCATGCACTCTCAGAACTGCCTGGGTAGACCTAACTGTGTCTGGGGACTAATGTGGAAAAGCAGCTTTGACCCCTTCATTTTTGGCCAGAGCTTAAGAAGAAACCCAATAGCTGCCTTGCACAATGTTCAGGACAATCTGTAACCTCAGCTCCCCTCCCCTCCTGAGCTTTGCCTCCTCCAGTTTCCATTGACCAACAGACCACACCAACTTCTGTTCTGCTCTGTTAGCCAGGGGGTGTGGGTCTGCAGCGATCAAGCCCGCATGTCATTTTTCTCTGGTGCAAGGAGGTGCAGCTGCCAAGTTCATTTGTACCAAACTGTTGAGAATTAATACATGGATCTATGGAGACAACTTGCTTGTGACGACATGGAAGTGCTCCAGGCTCAGAAAGCACAGCCTACTTGTAGGATGGTATTCAACTGCGTGCTGAGAACGAGCACAAAACCTACACAATACTGGGCCATAGAGAGTGGAGGTGGGACTTCTACAACATGCCATCCTTGTTCTGGCGTCTTCAGGTGGGGCACAGGGCACCCATGCACCTACTACACACCTACAAGTGAAAATTTCTGTATCTTGCTACATCAAGCGTGTTCAAATCACACATGTGGGTGGGAAGAAACAAGAATCTAAGCAACTGCTATAGATTCTAGAAGAACTATAGCTTTCTTTAAGGCACAGTTTAGACAACCCCTAAATGTTTCCTCCCTACTGCTAATCTGTGTTTAAAAACAAGCCAAGAATAATAAAAAAAAAAGGGTGGGGGGGCAGTTTTGCTGCTTGGCCAAAAGCAGTCAACTGTGTGTTATCTTCTGATCTGTGTGGAAGACCTGGCAAAAGCGCCATGGAAGCCAGAAGTGAGGGTAAAACATGCAACAGAAGACGACTTTGAGCCCAGCACAGAAGTGCATGGAGAAGTCTGTTGACACACAAATACCATGCTGAGAGATTTGTGGCTTCATGCCTTTACCCCAGATGCAGCTCTAGGGCCAAATGGGACATGGAGGGTTTCAAAGCCCACTCTGACATTTAAAAAGGCAAGTCTGGTAACCTCTCCAGTGAGCATAGTCAGGGGACAGCATTTCTTCTGATTAACCAACATGGTCAAAGTCAAGATCTCTTTTCACTGAAGCCTTGGGTTTGGGTTTTTTTAAAACTATGTTAGATGTTCCCATTATTTCCTCCAAAGATCTTCAGCATCTGCCTTCCTCCCTGAAAATTTGGGTAACGGTGTCGAGTACCAAGAATCAAAGCACCTTGGTCTCAGAAGTACCATGAGGCATAGACACATTCACACATCAACCCCAGGCTGCTGGCTCATCAGTCTCCACTGACCTGGAGTGGGGAAATCCCTGTCACAACAGCTTCTAGAGGTCTGAGAAAGCTCTGGCACTGAGCACATCACACCTGCGCCAGGAACTCTACTCATCACCTGCACTGGCCTTTGTCCAACAGGATACCATCATATAGAAACTGTCAGCAGCCAGCCAAGTGCCTCAGTAATCAAAAGCGTTGGAGACACCAACGAGAATACATACTTGCGTCCCAAAGCTGGCAGTCCCTAATGAGTTGACACCCTCCACTGGGTAGTGTAGGCCTTTGACAAGGCTGAGGAGACAGACAGCTGCCAAGAACGATGCAGGGCTGCTTCAATGCACTGTTGCCCAGCTCTGCCACTGAGACATCTCTGCTCCTTCGCACACTGCCAGGGAAGCACAAGCCTGGAGAATTCTGGCACACAGAGCTCCACAAACCTCACTGAATGTTTGAACAGGAGCAAAGAAAGCTGCCAGCCCCTTGGCCTCATGCATGCAGTAGGTCAGGACAAAATGGCATTAGGCCGTGGCTCCATGGGTACCCTGGCCTCAGGCACTACCTGGGCCATACTCATATACATTGCCAGGGCAGAGCCTCGTCCTGTGCCTTCTGCATGCCACCCCCTGGTTAGATCACCTCCAGGAAATCAGCTCTGGAGAAGGCCAGGATAGAAGCTGTGGAGCCTCCCCAGTCTCATCAGTCCCTGAAGAATCCAAGCTGGGCTCAGACCCCTCTGCAACCCTCACAAAAGCAGGGTTAGGGGTAGTGTGCTTGGATGAAAGACAGGACATCCTCCTTTGATAGCTTCTCTGGATCTTGCCTTTTCTGAGAGTCGTGCACTTTCACACCTTCCCCCCACTCCCAGAAGAGGCGGCTGTAATGACAGATGCTGTGGACAGAGAGGAGAGCAAGGTTAGTTTGGCAGGGAAGTTGAAGGAAAATACTTAGCCACAAAGAGCACTACAAAATCTCCCTTGCAACAGGAGCCACACAGAGATATTCCATTTAAGGGGTGCCTCAGAGAAAGACCAATGCTTTCATTCACCTTGCAAACTCTGCAGCCCTTAAGGTACAGCAGCTTCCAAGCCTAAGAGATTTCCATGGAAACAAACTTGTCAGTTCCAGCTTCACTCAAGATTCAGTTCAGTATTTGCTGGAAGGAGACAGGTCATTTGGCAAAACCTACCTCCCTCCAAGTTTTTGAGAGGATGAAACTGTCATTGCAAGCAACAGAAAGGCCTTAATGAAGAATTTAGAAAGTCTGCCAGCAGCAGCAAGCAGCAATCTAATCACTCACCACAAACCTACTAGAATCAGTAATAGCTGTCCTATGGAGCTTTGCAAACGAACAGCACTTCACGCTGTACAAAAGTGGCGAGGATCATCCCCTCTTTCCCCTCACGTGAAATAACCAAGCTCCATTTGGCTGCTGGGAGTTCTGGTCCTACAACGCCATCTCTCACTCCATCCATCAAGCACAGCCCTCCCTCACTGCAGCAACATAGTCCCAGCCATAATAAAAACAGAGCCACTAATTACTGCCAACACAGCAGCCTTTAGTTTTGCACAATTACTGACACTTAATATTCATAGCTTATTTAGTGCTACTGTTCTAACAAAGCAGTACTAGCACAGTGACAAGGGCACAAGTCAACAGCTAATTATAGACATGTTAGTACTAAACACAAGACAACACATCCCTTATGTAGCCCCACA